TTTTCTCTGAAGTGCAGCTAATTTTTTCAAAAAAATTTCCAAAGCACAATAAACTTCCAAAAAGATGAAACAGGCTAACATCTTAGTCAATCGTACTCACCATCAACTTCATATCAGCATGAAGATCAGCAGCTCAGCTAAATTGCGAAAAATAGTCTTCTTATCGTTCGTAATGTTATTTCGAGCTTCCACTAGTCCTGCTCAGCAATAAGTAAGCCGTAGGAACAGCTAATGATGTCACCGCTAGTCAAGTTTCAAGAAATCTGTGCATTTGGACGCCGGGGACTTCTATATACGCTCGCTCCGCCAACATAATTGGGGGGCCTACCCACCTGTCTACGTTCTCCCGGCAGCCGCCACCGACAGTATGGCGGTTTTTTCATTATTTTTAAAAGAGGAGAAAAAAGTCGTTCACGCTTACTTGGCCCGCGGCTGCACCTCCTCTCTATCCATCCACAAGGCCCCGGGGTATTATTTACTTAGGAGAAGGGAGCAGGTACATATTCGTTCGCGTGCACATGGCGCAATCACTCCAAGAAAGAGTTGAGTTGGACGGACGAACTGACTGCCGGTGGCAGATCTCCTGTAGGAAGCGAATGGCACACCGAGGGGGTGAACGGGCTGACATGAGGAGTCATATTTTTCTTTCCTGATTTTTTTTCTTCTTTACTGTTTCCTGTATTTTTATCATTGATTTTCAATTTTTTCAAACCGAATGCGTGCGTGCACGTTAACAGTTTTTTTTAATATCTGTGAGATTCGAAGAGGGAGAAGGAATTTTAAGTATTTAATGAGGCCCTCTCTCTTGGTATAAAGCAGTAGCATTGCCCGTACGGAATTTTTTCCACTTGTACTAACAAGTATAGGAAAGTGTGAAAGCGATTTATGTTCAAAAAATTATTTCAAACGAATATAATTGAAATAATAATACATACTAATGCATAATAACTTTTTGTAAAAATATAATCAGATGGATTATGTATCTTTGTAAGTAAAATTAGGTGTACAGATGTTTGACAGTATTCTACTGTATGTGTTCAAATTTTTTATCTAAATAGATGAGATTAATGCATATTTCCGTTGCCCAATAAATGTTTTTGCAAGAGAAAAAAAAATACCAAATGTAACTATTGTTCACTATCGTTTTTATTTGTAGTTTTAATAACAATAGCCTACAGCGTGTAGATTTAGATAATAATAAATCTAATCACCAAAATAATCTTTTTACATTAGTATTATAAAATATTGACTTAAAAATTCAACTAAAATTATTTGTATATTACAAGGGGATTGTTGAGCTGAGCATAATTGAGCTTAGTTTATAAGACAAATCTGCAGTACAAAAATTGACAATCTTACAACATAAATAAGCCAGCTAAAAAAATCGGCAAAAAATCACAGGTGTATACATATAAGAGTAACACTATACTTTTTAGTTGCGTAAACGTACAAGGGCTGAGAGTTCCTTTTGGGCTTATCTATAGTAGAGAATCTTCCCAATAGAAAATTTATTACATTATTATTTACACTCGATGATTTAAGACTACATGTACATAATAGCCTTCATGTGATGCTGCTTTAGCTACGAAGCTCATTTAAATGCGATTACCTCGTATTATTTAAGAGCACCGTTTAAGCGCAATAATTTTTTTGTGCATATCATTGATGCGATATACAGTTACAGTTTCTTTGTAGTAACACATGAAAGTTGTATTTTTTGTATCCATTAATCGGTACGCTATAGTAAAATAAACCTCATTTACCTATATACAAGCGATTTCGTTTGCTAGACCAAGCATTTTTGTTACTTTAAAAAATTGATGTATAAAAAGGTATTATTCTCTATAAAGTGAAAACATTTTAAGCGATGTGAAGTATAAAAAGTTACTACATATTTAGGTATACAATTTACACAAATATTTAAATGTATGTCTTAACGTAAGCTAACAAAGTATTCACTGTAAAAAAAATCAAGAAACAAAAATGAACTTTTTGCTTTCAAGTAATAAATATTAGTTTACTTTTAACACTAATAAACATTAATTGACAAGCTTTCAATGCTGCAAAGAGTAGTCTACTGTTTTTTAACTGATAAAGAAACATTGCAGCCTCAAGAGTAAGAAAATACGTAAACGTTTAGAAAACGGTAATTTGGCTTTTTTGCAAATAGACTTTGCAAACTACGATAACATAAAGTATTTTAAAGAGTTAAGTATAATGCAACATGAACCCTTTTTTAATACATTTTCTTGTATATTTAAATGTGACATAATAAAATTTTACACTAACGATAGAAGAATGTAGCATAAGCTTCATTAATTATAATAGAAAATGGTTCATAACACTTGCGTCGTTACGCTTTACACGTATCCTCTGCTTTCCAGGAATGAAATTTAAAAAATATGATATGTATAAATAACTTTCTTACATAATATTATTTTATGTTTTGCTTATAAGTAAACGCAATTTCTGATTATTAAACACAAAAATGGAAACTAGAAAATATTTTCTACTATTAATTGGTGAAATATAATGCACATTAATTGATTCAGATAGCAAAGTTTAAAGTTTTTGGATTTGAACGCTGTATATAATTTTTTCTACCTTAGGCTACTTTGAGGGTTGGGTGTTCCCTTGGTAGGAAAAATAGGGTTCGCACCTGGTGTGCATCCAACCAGGGCAAGCACAAGGAGTCCCTTGAGCCCTCCTTCGCAGGTCCCTCGGGTCTAGTGCTTGCCCTGAAGACATGCACCACCAGGTACGAAAAATACTATTTTCTTGAAAAAAAAAAGAACTATAAATAAAATTTCAGCTTAAAACATATTATTTAATGTAGTAGTTTTCGTACCTGGTGGTGCGTGTCTCCAGGGCAAGCACCAGACCCGAGGGACTCCTTGTGCTTGCCCTAGTTGGATGCGTACCTGGTGCGAACCCTATTTTTCCTACCGAGGGCACACTACACCCTCAAAAACGCCCGAAGTAGGAAATAGTAGTTTTCCTACGAGTTTGAAGAGTCTCTGTTTGCGAACCGAGACGTTTGCGGCCCGAGCCGAAGGCGAGGGACGTAACGAGGTTCGTAAAGGAAACTTTTCAAACGAGTTCCAGAAAACTGCTTTTTCGCCCGAGGAAGTAACAGCCTCCCAAAACCACCCGAGGGCGGAAAAAACAATTTCCTACTCATACACTATCTGAGTAGCTTCTACAAGCACACTCTATTAACTCTGTATAGAGGTTGTTGATCTTAACTCTATATGTAAATCCTTATCCATCTAATCTTATAACCTCCAAGTAATTTTTCCCCAACTTATCTTGCTCCCCTCTTTCTACCTTAACCCTACACTCCCACGACTAATAAAATTTCTTTTTTTATCTTTAATAAACATGATATTGATCGTGTGTGAAGTAAAAAAATACTATAATATTATCTTTATTATGAGAAACAGTAATATGTGAAATTATTAAAGGCATAAGTAATATTTATCTTATTTTTTATTCAAGTCCGTATTAATCTATTATTTAATTGGTAGAATTTCTTATAACTGTAATTATGGCCTATTAATTTGTTGTTAAAAT